TATTTCAGTTTAATAATTGAATTAAACTTTTTTTAACTCTTTGCGTACAATTGTATACCCTGTTGGTATAACTATATACTATACTGGTATCAAATGTTAGTTAATATTTTTTTGGTTGTATTAGCTACATTTAATTGGTACACAATTTGATTTTTCTTTAGTAATAATATAAAAAAAAAGAATAATAAAAAATAATGAAAATAGGAAATGAAATTAGATTATGAAGAGAAAAAAAAATAAAAAAAAAGAAGTTAAATGAAATTAGAATAGGAAAAAAGAAAAAAATAAGAAGAAAACGGGAAAAAAGAAAAGGAGAAAAGAAAAAGAAAAGAAAAAAGAAAAAAGAAAAGAAAAGAAGCATAGAAATAAAAAAGAATTGAAGAATAAAGATAAAATTTTCCACAGAACCTACTATGGGTAGGAAATGTAATTAATTTATGGGTAGACAAGGGTAAATAGTTTTATTTTTATGGGTAACTGTGTCAAAACCCCAATAAAATCTTGAAGGGCTATACAGGGTAGTTATCTCAGGGAGAAATTCAAAAATAGCCAGATTTACCACTGGTCGTTGAAAAATAGCCAAGTTTCAAAAGTCATCGAAATTTAGCCACTTTAAATCTGAGCGAAAACACTGTTCAAAATCCTGAAAAATACGCCCGCAAATTTTACGGGAGTTCCAGCATAAGTATGCTTGAACTCCCGTAAATTTTACGGGAGTTCCAGGATAACTATGCTGGAACTCCCGCAAATTTTACGGGAGTTCCAGCAAGTATAATTGTCTAGTATAATATACTGGAGTTTGGAGCACTGGTGCTCCAGTCTCCCGCAAATTTTACAGGAGTTAGCAAAGTATACCGGTCCAGCATAATATGCTGGAGTTCGTACACAAATGCATCAGAACTCCCGTATATTATACTGGACCGGTCCCTGTTGCAGCAAAATAGTGGCTATTTTTCATTGACTTGATAAACGCTGGCTATTTTTCATTGACCAGTGTGAAAACTGGCTATACCATGATATTTTAACGTTATCTCATTCAAAATTGAGAAGCCCAATTGATTATGGATCTGGCCCGCTCCATCTTCTCACTCTTATCCTTCATAGTCCATCCAGTGGCCTTGTCCATTGGAACAACCACCATTTCCTTGGTTACATACTATTCTTCTCTCCTTCTCTTTCACCGGCGACTCTCCGGCGATCTCTTTCTCCGGCGATCTCTAAAATAAACTCGTAAGTTCCTATTTTTCTCTCACTTATGACTTAACTTCCAGATTTGACAACAAAACCCTAATTCCTCTTTTCGATGGTTTCTTAATAGTATAATAATTTGGATTTAAGTTCAATTCTCTTCGTATTTGCTCATATTGCATTAATTGAAGTATGAATTCCGATTTTGTTATAATAGTTTGTGAATTTTTTTCCCCGTACAAAGTAGCGTTCAATTTCCTTCCCCTGTAATAAAAGAGCCTGAATTGGAAGGAATTTGATATGGATGATTCATATATTTGATTGTAACTAGTTCGGATTGAAGTGTAGTTGATTGATTAATGTATCGAGCAACAAAAAAAAAAAGAGGATAAAAATACGTAGGTGATTTTTATGCCACATAAATTGGGAAGAGAGAGTAGTGCTTATGGATCTTTTGGCATGGGAAACCCCATACCAGTCCCCTATCGTGTAGCACAACAGCGCCCTTTCCTCACATTGCTACATCAGCTACTTGAATCCCCAATCTAATGGTTGGAGGAGGGTCCTTACCACTAGGCGAGCCCTCTCTCCTCAATAATAGTGCTTATAAAAAAATTGCAAATAAAAATTATATTTGTTGCATAAGTGTTTATGTCCAACTCTGTAGCAGGGAGGAAACCCATTTCTTTTCAATGCAAGGGGAATAAATTCTGTTAGAGGGGATTTATTCTTTTGATTCCTTTGCATTGCAGGTGTATGGTATTAGTAGCAAGATGTATAAGTTGACATGACTTAATAATGCGAAGTGGTTATTCACACTCATTTAGGGTTCATAGGACTAGAGAATATATTATTCATGGATTAGTAACAGTGGGATTGTAATGCAAAAATTAGTTACGCGTGGATTATGCAAGGATTAGGTATTATAAAGCTTTGCAGGAGAAGGACAAAAGAGTAGTAGATTGATGTATCGTGACGCGGGAGGCTTATTGGTTGAACAAAGAATTTAAGGGACTTTCTTTTTAAATCTTATGGCCAGGTTGTTTGACTGTCATCCCGATTGACACCAACTTGTAGTTAAGCAAGTGTACATAGTTGTGTGTGAATGCTCTTTCCTGTTAGTCGTGTTTTCTTTCTGCTACTTGTAATTCATGCATAAGGGTAAGGAACTTTGGATGAACTCTATAACTGAAAGAGATGCACTACCCAGCATGTAAACCTTGTGTCCCTACTCCTCTTTGTGGCTTCTGGTAGATTGAGAGGATTTGATTGTTCGATTTTGACAGGAAGAAATTCTATGGCTCCAACGAAAAACAAGAAGCAGAGCAATAATGCTGCTGAATCTAGTTCTAAAAGTGTAGTTGCTGAAAAGAAAACACCCAAGGCACTGAAGGCTAAACGTAAACTTGTGAAAAAGTTCTCTCACTTAAACTCTGAGCAGAGCAATAATGCTGCTGAATCTAGTTCTAAAAGTGTAGTTGCTGAAGAGAAAACTCCCAAGGCACTGAAGGCTAAACGTAAACTTGTGAAAAAGTTCTCTCACTTGAACTCTGAGCAGAGCAATAATGCTGCTGAATCTAGTTCTAAAAGGGTAGTTGCTGAAGAGAAAACTTCAAAGGCACTGAAGGCTAAACGTAAACTTGTGAAAAAGTTCTCTCACTTAGACTGTGCACAAACCAAAGAAGCTGAGATCAGTCCACAAGTGCAAGCCAGAAAGAAAGACAAGAAGGCAAAAGATGGCAACGAAGGAAATCATGTCGGTGGAAAAGATGTGAAGGCTAAACGTAAACTTGTAAAAAAGTTCTCTCACTTGAACTCTGCACAAACCAAAGAAGCTGAGATCAGTCCACAAGTGCAAGCCAGAAACAAAGACGAGAAGGCAAAAGATGGCAACGAAGGAAATCATGATGGTGGAAAAGATGCTAATGGGTCTCAGAATAAGAATCCAGGGAACAAAGAAATGGAAAATATGAGTGGAAGATGTGGAGAGGTGAATAAGGATGAAAAAACTAAGAAGAACCTTGGTTTAAATGGAGGAAGCGGAGAGGTGAACAACAAGGATATAAAAACTGTAAATAGTCGTGGTGGAATGATTTTCATGTGCAATGCAAAAACCAAAGCAGATTGTTTCAGATATCGTGTGATGGGTGTTCAAGCAAGCAAGCAAGATGTTGTGATGGGAGTCAAACCTGGTCTTAAGATTTTTCTCTTTGATTTTGATCTTAAGCTCATGTATGGTATTTATGAGGCATCTTCTGCTGGTGGAATGAGACTTGAACCAGCAGCATTTGGTGGGGGCTTCCCTGCTCAGGTCAACTATACTGTTCTTATCTTATGATTTCATCTTCTTCCAATCTGTCACGTGTTTTTATTGATGATAGGTCATCCAACAGGTTCCTTTTAAGATTCACAAGGGCTGCATTCCATTACCAGAGAAGGTGTTCAAGAACGCAATTAAAGACAATTATGATGAAAGGACACGCAAGTTTAAGACTGAGCTGACAGTTACACAGGTACTGAGCGACCTCCCTAATTATTAGTTCTTCACTATTTTCCTAAATTTTGATGTCAGTATTTTGCCTGAATTTTCCTTGAGCAGGTAGAGAAGTTGATGGAGCTGTTTAGACCTACACCATTGCTGGAGCCAGCTCTCATACCTGTAGTCCAGGATCCTGTGGCTCAGCCAGTTAATCAGAGTGGGGCAGCACCACCTTTATATGGAGCGCATTACAACAGTAGTAAACCTGCACGGAATTTCTCACCACATGATCATCAAAGACAGCAGTTCGCAGACCACTTTGTCATGCCTAGAGAGGTTTCCCATCACCCTAATTTTCTTACTGAGAAAGATTACAGAACCCATGGTCTTCAACCGGCAAAACATTTGCAGACTTCTACTTCTGCAGTACATGTTAACCATAAATTGGAGCACTATGGTTTTCAACAGGCAAAACATCTGCAGCTCTCTACTTCTGCAATACATGTTAACCCTAAATTGGATCATTATGGATCTGAACAAGGAATGCCGCAGCTCCTGAGGGACCCTGCTAGTGTAAGAGGTGATGCTGCTTTTGCGCGGAGTGGACATGTCTACTCTGATCCTGTCTTTCCAAGTGAAAGGGAATACCGTGGTTACAGCCTCAAGAGTTTCCATGGGCAACCTGTTACTGTTGCCCCTGCTGTAGCAAGTAGTAATACAGTGGCCGCAGCTGTCGATCATAGTTTACTAAAAAATGTTAATCCTTACGATGAGAGTACCACCTCACTTGTGAACCGGTATCTTTCTATGCCAAGGGCAACGATAGCACCTGGAGGGTTGCCGTTGACAGGCCGACAGTCGTTTGCTGGTGCTTCCAACTATGTGGGTGACACCAGAGGCCATCCAGGAAGGTTGCTTGCTGAAAATGAAAGATCTTGTCCACCAAATGCTCCTCATGTGCTATCAAATCACGGCCATATGTATCAGCATCCTAGATATGAACCTGGAAAATCATCGTCAGTCTTATCTCAGTATCCTTTTGCTGGTCCTTCTGCATCACGGCGCTGAAACCCTGCTGCATAACATCCATCCCATAATGTATTTCACCTATCCTTCCTGTAAAGTTGGGAAATAACCCTGATGGCTTCCAAATATCCAGGCGGAGGGGGTAGTCTTTATATTCAGTTAGTGAGACAAAAAGAAAGACTGGATTTGTGGCTTCCCTTCCGACAATTTGATGTTTGTTCATAATCTTGCAATGCTTGAACTAGAACTTCAGGATTCTGATGGGAGTCACCTTAAACTGTAACTTATGTCACAGGGACAAGTTTTGATGCACTCGGTTCCTTTAACTTGTATGAACTCTGTAAATATTTATGGGCAGTGGCGTGTGCTAGTGCAGCAGCTGCTTATTTTGTGAAAGATTTACCCAGAAAGGTCAAGTCGCTGCTATGAATCCCATTTTCAAATTGAATCTCCGCACAACTCCAGTTCTCTGGCTTCGTTTCAGGGTGCCTCGTCGCACTCAATTTGCAAGATGTGCATTTCTCTTAATCTAACTGAAGATGATGGGCCAAGAAATCAATCTTGGATCCAAAATTTCCTCTTTTTTTTATTTATTGTTTCCTATGTACAAAACTTTCTGTTTCTAGTGGAGCATGTGATCCTTAAGGGGTCGTTTGGTTGAAAAAAAGTTATCACAGGATTAATTATCTCCGGGTTAGTTATTCTACCTTTCCATGGGGATAAGAAAACACTATAATTCCGGGATAACTAATCTCGGGATTAATTATATCGCAACTTTCTCCCAACCAAACATGGGATTAGTTCTTCTTAAATTTAGTCCCGGGATTAATTATTTCTTATCCCTCATACCAAACGAGACCTAAAGGTAATATCATAGTCGTTTGCCTGTGCAGAGACATGCGACAATGTCAATTTTATTAGAAAATTTAAGTCTTGTTGAGCAGCTCGAGGGAAATGTCATAAGAAGGGTTTAGGGTTTAGGGCTACTGTGGATTTTTTCGTACGAGCTTAAGAAATAGTAAGAAAACAATACCAAGAAATCTTAGACTAATGTAACGTCAAACAAATGGTATTTCTGCAAATGGAACTATGACCAAGAAACTATGTTTTCCTCGATTATGCATAAAAACTACTTGTGCTTATAACTACATCGTCCATTAAAATACCTTCAATACCTGTTCCTTGAAAAGAAAATAGAAACATCATCAAGTTCATGACATTTAAAATCAGTTATATTCAACTAACAAATACCAACAGGCATTTTACAGGTACAATCAATTTTGCTAGCCAAAATCTTTCCCGAGTAAATGAAATGTCTCTCTTCCCTAACCAGTTTCTTTCTAAGAACCTTACACCTGAACATATCATGATCTAGGCACTTAACATCACAACAGAAAAAATCAAAACATGTCGAAACCAGATTAAGAAAATAGCTTCAGGAGAATAGCGTCTGGCTTTTATGTACATAGACCAGCCTATTGATTAGAGTCTGCAGCTTGCGCATTGATACTGGAACTATCACCTCCTCCGTTCGCTGGCACAGTGGTACTTCCTTGATACACAGGAGGTGCAAACATTGGAGGGCCACCAGTAGAAGCAGGCATTCCCACACTTCCTGGAATTGCACCTGGTGGTGCGCCAGGCCGTTGCATATTATTGACTTGACCAGGCATAGGAGCACCGGGAGGTGCCAACATCTGAGGCATCGGTTGAGGTGCATAACCTGGAAAGATCAAACGAAGATCCTATAATTTGTAAAGGTCTATGATCGAATAACTGGGGGAAACTTCTCAAGGCAACACCAATATGCAAGCTTTCAGAAACTACAGCATGACAGAGTCATGCGTGTATCTCTTTCTATTATTCATCATAATCATTCAAACAATCAGAATCTAAGCGGCTAGATAAATAATAATGTAGAAGATATCATCTACAGGACATACAAATACAAGTAAATCTGATATAACCCAAAGGGAATTCTGCTCTTTAAAGGAAAATGTCAAAAAGATCTAGTTGCTATTTCCTCCCAAAATAATGAAGCCGTTGGAGAACATGAGTTATCACATCATTCCTTGATAAAGGAGGAGGGTTATGGTAGGTTAACAGCATGCCAAAAAATAGTCAAATTGTGATGAACCCTCTAAATATAAAGAGGATTCATATAGACGACCCCAACTAACTAACGACTGAAATGTAGTTGATTGATTATCCCGGGCTGCACTCCAGAACTAGATTATCCAAATGCTTATGCTAGATGCAACAACATATTTCCGTTGATACTTTTTTGTTCATTTCGTGATATGAATCAGTTGCAGTTGTTCAAAAATCAAAACTAGTGATAACAGTCAACAACAACAACAATAACAACCCAGTATTATCCCACAAGTGGGGTCTGGGAAGGATAGAGTGTACGCAGATCTTACCCCTGCCTTTAAGAAGGCAGAGAGGCTATTTCCGGAAGACCCTCGGCTCAGGAAGGGAAAAGGGGAGGGGCAATAACAAACAAGTCGATCAGACAACCGAAGCGAAAATACAAAACTAGCCATAGGTAATGCAATCAGAAAACCGAAACAAAGACAACAACAAGTAGTAAAAAAACTAGTGGTAACAGTCGAAGATAAAATTTGTTTTCTTTGACCAAATAACTCCTTTACTCCCAATTAAGGAAACACCAAATACTATGGTGTAGCTTTGACAGAATAAACAATATTCTCAATGATTTAAAGTTTAAACACCTTTTTTACTAGGTAAAATTTTATTGAAAAATTTGATGGGATGAGAGAGGCTCGAACTTCTGACCGCAGGGTAACTCAGAAGCTACAAGACTAACGCGCTAGCCAACTGCGCCACCAACCCATTTCCTGAACGATTTAAACACTTGAGACTAGGCAACCCTTGTTCCTAACAGATCTATTGTCAAATTGTTTTTTTTTTCCCTCATTTTCCTTTATTTGATAAGACCCATTGCCAACCTTAATTAGCCTTAATGCTAAACTGATTAGTAACGGCAATATGAATCCTCCATACTTTTTTGCGCTATTGAGGTGCATTTTATTCCAATAATAGTATATAGATACGAGATGTTATTGATTGAGTGAACCCACTTGATCAAAAGATGGCGCAGTTGATGGAGTTGAACCTACATCTTTTGGAAGAAACTAATGCCAAAGTGTTCACATAAAAAATTTCCAAACCAGATAAGAAAGAACTACACTCCTTTTTGAAAAGCTAATAGTGTGACCACGGGGATTTCCCACTTCTTGTGGGGGTTTATTTGTTGCAAAATCTTAAACCTACATATATAGACAACATCAGTTAGGAGTTAATCCCCCAAAAAAAGCAAGCTTGAAAATCATCGCACAGTCAACAACCATATTTAGAGCTTGATGGAGTGCCTAATATAACACAAAATATCTTCAAGACGTATGTAAAACAACAAGGTCCTGACAGAATTTTAAAATCGTGCTGATACCTGGAACGCCAGGCATGGGCCTTGGAAGCACTGGAGGACGCATACCAGGGACCCACTGGGAACCGGCTGGCATTTGGGGATTACCTCCCATGGGCATCTGAGGAGTCGGAAGAACAGGAAGACCGGGCCTTAGCTGGGGAAAAGGAAGGCCAACTGGTCTAAAGGCACCTAGATGTTCCTTGACTTTTTGGTCAATTAAACTCTGGTTCAATTGTGCCTCAAATTGTTGATAGTAAGTTCGAACATTTCCCTGACAGTATAATGATGTGAGACTTGTTATATGTGTAATTTGCCTAATCTCCAAGGAAAATAGAAATAATACCTTGTGTTTGTAGCCTGCATTATGCTGCTTTCTCACAGAAGGCTGAAAATAACAAGACAAAAGGTGGTGTTAAAAGTTGAAGGTACACAACAAATGTATCAATGCACAATCTTGTTTCTGAAAAAACTCAATGAAGAGTAGTAACACAAGAAACTAACAATCAACTCAAATGTACTTCTACATATAAGATAAGTTTGTGTCTCATTTGAACGTTCTCTAGTAAACTGTTTTTATTCCATAGTTTGGCTGCTTCCAAATATTTTCCTAAAAGAAATACTTTTCACCAAATAGGAAAATCTTAACTCTTCTTATTACCTCAATTCACTTACCGCAATTTCATCAAAACCAACTACACCTAAATCCCAAATTCAAGTTGTTGTCGGCCATATGAATCCTCACTGACCATGTCTCTCCATTTACCCTCATCTCAGGCCAATATTATGCACCAAAAAATAAAGACACCAAAAGAACTAGAAGTTCTCTATAATTTCTACCGGAACATAAATTTGTCATGACTAAGGACTCCTAGAAAATATAGTTCTAGGACTTGAAGCAAATGTACTTACATGACTAAAACAAATATTGAACTAACTAATACTTATCACTTATATAAGATATTTTATTCCATTATGCCCTATTTTCGCTAAGCCTACATGGACTCCAAGAGATTGCAAGTCTTTCTAGGCACTATTGTCTTTAATATTGAAATTTATTACCAAAAGATCACCCCCTTACTCCATCTCCAACATACTATTATGACCTTGGTACTAATCCAAACACCAAAGAGCAATCTACAAAATCAAGCTTAACATGTTCCAAAAAAGAGTTCCCATGAATAACACTTTATGTCTTTATACACCCTTAAAGCAGAAAGAACAATAAAGATTACGCGATCGAACAAGCTGATGTTACATAGGGCGGAGTCAGGTTCAAGCAAGGGGGTTCAATTGAATTTCCTTAAAATTATACTATGCCATAAGGAACATTCTAATGTTGATAACCATGGTATCAGAGCCAGCTTTCTCGCACCTCGACTAATTCCATGGGATACCTGCTACCTTCCACTAGCATAGATACCGGCCACCAGGTAACTCTATCCACCAAGGCTTGGACATATAGGAAAAAATCACCTACTCCCTCTGTTTCAATTTATTCGACACACTCTCCTGATTATTTCGTTCTAAAAAGAATGACAGATTTCTATTTCTGGAAATAGTTTAACTTTTAACTTTTTATTTTACGCATTTACTCTTAATGAGAAGTTTTTATAACCACACAAATGATAGGACCACAAACCTTTTACCCTTTAAGCTTTTAAGACCACAAATTTCAAAAGTCCCTTTTTCCCCTTAAACTCCGTCGAAGTCAAACTACATCAACAACTAAGCCTCAATCCAAAACAAGCTGGGTCAGCGATATGAATCTTCATTTCTTTCTAAGCTCAACTCATATCTTTCTCATTATCAAAATAAAATAAAAGTGCAAGTAATATATATATATATATATATATTGAGTCCAACGATTTGTAGGTCTTTCAACACAACTTCTTTACATGCGATTTTAGGACTACCCCGTCCTTTTTTAATACTTTTTCCCACCATAGTTTCGCACCTACAAACCGGTGT